TAATAATAATAATCTTTATTCTTCTCCTAACGTAATGACATGGAAAAAACAAATTCGAAAACAAAAAAAGACAGAAGAATCACAAGGCGAAGTTCAGATATACAAAGAGAAATCTTCGTATCCTGTTCTACCACTTAAACCTTGACAGAACAAACAAAACTTATAAATTTAATACCTATCCTAATGAAAAATTGCCTTAATCTATTCGTTATTCGGGATCGGTAGGAAATATCACTAATTTCATAGTTTAAAGAAAAGAAAACAACTAAAAACACAACTTAAAAGTAGCACACATGTTAGATTTCAGAAAGAAACCTGCTTGTAATATTAAGAACTCGCGAAGTCTGCTTTAAAACGCGGGGCGGAGAGGATCTTTTAGACTGTCCAGGGTAGATGGTTGCTATAGGTTTGGATATATATATAGGAAAGGAGCGTTTCGGTTAAAGAGCTGTAGTGTGTATGGGAGGGGTAATAGTTTGCGCCTTTATAGGAACCTCATTAAGGAGGTGTGTACGCTCATGGGTGCGAAACGGTAATTTTGTTAATGAGGTGATTTATTTAAAATAAATTTTATGATATGTGCAGGCCTTCAACAAATAAAACGGATTCTGCATGGGTTCAACAGTTAGCGTTAGACGGTTATGTTTATGTGCTGTCAAACTTGCGGATGTTGTATATATATTCGCAAATCCAGGGCATTTTGAACAAATTTTGAATTCTATCTGTTTTTTATCGAACCTTTGCCCCACAGCCATGGACTGAATTACAACACTACAAAAGTAAAATGTGACCAATACTAATTGATTTCGATCAAATGTAAAATCTTTTGTTTTATTGAGATAATAGTGTTGGTGTGCATATAGCAACCTTAAACTTCCATAAGCTTTTACTATGCTTTGTGAAATATGATATGAAAATCTAAAAGTATTGTCAAGATGTAGGCCTAAATTTTTTGCCCGGTGGACTACAGGTATGATTGTGTTATTGATATGAATAGTTATATCTGAAAGGTACCTATTATAGTATTCCTACCACCAAATAACAGCACTTGTGATTTTGAGGGATTGATGTGTAAATTATGTTTTAGAGAAGTTATATAGAGGTTTTGTAAATCATTATTAATCTTAGACACTGCATTATTGATTTCAGACGGTTTAAATGACAGATATAATTGAGTGTCATCCGCATAGGCATGATAATTGCATGAAGTGATTACATTATTAAAGGATGAGGTGTAAATGCTGAATAATGTTGGTCCTAATATCGATCCCTGGGGAACGCCACAGCTTAGAGGCAAAGATCAGATACGGCATTGTCCAACTTAACACACTGAGACCTATTGGACAAATAGTCGAGGAGGAAATCTGCGGCATTCCGTGTAAGTCCAATGAAATGTAAAATAGAGCGTAATAAATGGTGATCAATGGTATCGAACGCCTTCGAAAAATCCAGAAGAACCAGGATGGTCAATTTTCTTTGATCAGTTGCTTGAAGGATGTCATCTGTTATGTTGAGAAGCGCAGTGCTACAACTGTGCAACGGTCTAAAACCAGACTGTGTGGAAGGTAGGATATTAAAAGATGTTAAATGATTTATAAGTTGAGCATTAATTATCTTTTCTAATATTTTAGATATCGCAGGTAACACACTGATAGGACGCAGGTGATTCAAATCTGTAGGATTTTTTATTTTAGCAACAGGTCTCACAAATGCCTGCTTCCATAAGGCTGGAAATTTGTTTTCAACTATGCAGCAGTTAATGATGTGGGTTATGAACTGTATTACAAATGGGCAGCAATATTTTATCATTTCTATGTTAATTTTATCTATTCCGTAGCAAAGTGAATGAATTTTATTTAATAAATCTAATACAGTATAGGAATCTACAGTTTTGAATTCCAGCGGCGCAGTGACCCCTGCCTTAGTATTATTGTCAAAGAAATCAACTAGATCTCTATTACCAGCAGCACTCGGTTTAGGAATACTGCTAATAAAATGACTGTTAATCTCATTGGCATGTTGAAGGTGTTGAGGTATTTCAAAAAAAGAAGACTGTTTAATGTCAAAAGAATGTAATACCTTCCAAGTAAGTTTGGATGATTTGAGTGTCCGAAATTTGTACTCCAAATATGCCTTCTTTTCATTTCGAATTGCCAGTGTAGTAAAATTACGCAGGGATTTATAATACTCCCAATGGTGGTTCAGTTTACTTTTGCGGAATTTAGATTTTGCTTTGTCTCTTAGTGACTGTAGTAGTTTGATGTTATCGGTTATCCTAGGAAAGCGGGGCTTAGTTACTTTAAATAATTTATTGGGAGCGTGTAAATCAAAAATCTCAGAGACACAAGAATTAAAGATCTTAACCTTATCATCGACGTCAGGGGTTTATTTTAATGCATGTGCCTTAAGTTGGACTGTAGGACTTAAGAGTGCCCAGCCGAAAAAGGCAAGAATGTAACTTTCTCTTAAAAACTAGTTTATATTTACAAAATTCCTCTATACAATACAAAGGGGTGCTGAAGGTCAGCAAGCCCGAAAGTGAGTAGAGTGAGAGGGAGGTATCAAAAATACCTACATTATTTAACATACCGCCCCCTTTGAAATACGTAAGTTTTCAATTAATGAAACATAAGAACATGATATAAAATACATCTTAACATTAAACAGGTAGCAAACACACTTTGTTAATGGCACGTTTTGTTTCACTGTTTTGCGTTTTTACACTAACGGCGCGAACTATATCGTCACTTCCTCGATGTAGTCCAGTGATTCGTCCCATGGCCCATTTGCACGGCGGTTGATTATCCTCCTTTAATATCACCAAACTGCCCATTAATAAATCTTCGTTGTTTTTTACGAACTTCCATTTGGTGCGTTGTTGTAAGGTATTGATATAATCCTGCGACCATCGATGCCAGAAGTGTTGTACCATTTGCTGGATTTGAAAATATTTGGACAATACGCTGAACTTTCTATCCATTACTTCCTCTTGCGGCAGCGAATTTAAAGGTGCTCCAATTAGGAAGTGTCCCGGTGTTAGCGGTTCAAAATCATTGGGATCAGACGATAATGGGGTTACAGGACGAGAGTTGAGGATTGCCTCAACTTGTACAATAAATGTATAAAACTCTTCAAAAGTTAGATTTGTTTGATTCGTTAATCGTTTTATGTAATGTTTTAAATTTTTTACCGACGCTTCCCACAGGCCGCCGAAATGTGGCGATCTAGCGGGTATGAAATTCCAAACTATTTTGTTTGCAGATATATAATTTTTTACTTTTGTATGAGAGTGAATGTCCTTTAAAAAATTGTTTGCGCCGATAAAATTGGTTGCATTGTCCGAGAATATGGAGGTGCATACTCCACGACGAGATACAAATCTTTTTAGTGCGTTTAAGAAAGCTAATGCAGTTAAATCGCCAACTAACTCTACATGAACTGCCTTTGTGCATAAGCAAACGAATAAACAAATATATGATTTTACAATTTTCCGATTTCGTGTCTTTCCATCTTTAATATCATACGGGCCTGCATAATCGACCCCGACCTTAGAAAATATTCTATTTTGAGTTACGCGTTGCTGAGGTAACTGTCCCATTAGTTGGGAAAGTTCATTTGGTTTTGCCCTAAAGCATGTAATGCATCTACGTAATATTTTACGCACAGACTGACGGCCGTTAATTATCCAGTAATTTTGTCTTAAACTCGCTAATACGGATTGAGCTCCAGCGTGCAAATTGCGATGATGTTCGTGTTTTATTATTAAATCTGTCAGTGGGTGCTTGGCGGGAAGCATTACTTGGTGCATTTGTGAAAATGACATATTTGATTTTTGTATGCGCCCCCCTACTCTGATTAGTCCGTGTTTGTCAATAAAAGGATTAAAACCACTTAACTTGCTTTTTTGATTTACCTGACGACCCTTTTTTAATGATCTTAATTCTTCGTCAAATGATTGACTTTGGGCTAATATTAATAATTTTAATCTGCTTTGCTCTAATTCGGTCACTGTTAATTCCGTAATGAGTTTTGAATTTTGATTTTTACAATTGTGTACAAATCTATAAATGTACGTCACAATTCGTATTAATTTTGTTAAACTGGAATATCTTTCAAATATTTCTAAGGATAAAATTTGATTTGAAAATGCAGTGATGGTCTTTTGTTCTCTTTCAACTTCTAAAACAGTT